AGATTAAAACCTACACTTAAAATGTTTGCAACTTTTTAAAAGTAAAACCCATTGTGGGCTGCCACACCCAAAGGTTTGTACAAGCAGTCTGTGTGCATCGCGGGTATCTGAGCCGTGTCCCCAGGGCCCCACGTGGCACTGGACGTGTGTGGTCACTTCCCCTCCCTGCAGTTGTGTGCGGGGGCAGCTGCACTCTGCAGGGTGGATGCCTGACTGCGTCTGGGTGGGTGGTGACCTAGTGGCCTGAGGCTTAGACACTCTGAATTCCACACGAATCACTGTCCTTTCCTGAGCCTGCTCTGTGCAGACCCTCACTGGTAAATCGGAGGCTGTTTGATTTAATCCTCACAACAACCCTGACAATGTCGGTGGTGTGTCCCACGTCGCAGTGGAGAATGCCGTGGCAGTGGAGTGTCAGTGACTCCTGGGGGGAGAGCCGCGTCCCGCCGGAGCCCTCGGCTTCCCTGCTGTGCACCTGGGGTCACCTCCACCCTCTGTGCAAGCGTGGAAACTGAGGCTCGGTGAGGGGGACCACCCTACCCAGGTCTCGAGCCTGGGTTGCCCCCTGTGGTATTGAGAAGCCTCGAGGCTGATCTGTCGGAGCCCCTGAGGTTCACTTGTCTGTGTGTTTCCGAGGCGTCAGCAGCCTCCTCTCCACTCCATGCTTGGGTTTCTCATCCACTCCTGACCAACGTGCGCATCTTAGGAGACCGGTGAGAGGGTCACAAGTAGGGCTACACTTAGCCAGATAACTTGTCACTGAAGCAAGAAGGATTTCTTAATTATAGGGGACAGAAAATGTTGGCTTGACCTGAGGCCCTATTGGGACATTTGAACATGTTCATCAATATTCAAGCGCACGTGGGCTGCCCATTGTTACTGCGGCTGGTGTTCGGAAGTGCACGTGTGAAGCTTAGCCACAAGGGTGTTGCTGGAATCCTCATTCCAATACTTGTTTGACCTGTCTTTACCCTTCCTGAAATGGCCAGTGCTTATGTAAGAGAGACGGCCACGAAGCACTGCTCTCTCAGGAAATGTGTGGGCACGTTCAGTGAAGGAAATCACATCAAACTGAAAAACACTCTTCCCCGGGTGGCTGAGAGCGAGTGGCACAGGACGGGATGCCTGGAACGGGGTTGCCGTGCTTTTGCGCAGATGGGCAGCCTCTGTCCATGCTGCTCTCACCGAACACATCCCGCGGCATCCTGTTTTTCTCATGTTTGCTTTTTTTGCCCCTTCATGATTGTAGGAGAAAACCAAAGAACTGGCAGAGAAGCAGGCGCACCTGTAAGTATCCGTCGCTCACCGCCCCCCAGGCAGCCGGTTCCCGAGGAGCTGAGAGCCAGGGCCCCCGCAGCCCGGGGGTCGGCCTTGTGCTCTTAGGGCCTAAAGCAGCTCTGTGTCCATCCCTAGTGAATGTTCTTTTTTATTTTTATTTTTAAATTATAAATCACTTCCAAAATACAGAAAAGTACAGAATACATCAATCATCCCTGAACTCACGCCAGAATCCAACATGAACATTTCGTTCCGTTTGCTTCAGGTCTTATGTCGTGTGCCGATTTTAAAATTGCGAATGACCGTTAGGTTTTACAGAATGCTTTTTCTGCGTCTGTGGCTGTCACACGCTTTCCCCTTGCACCTGTGCGTGTGGGTTCCACATTCAGAGGCTTTCTGAACCACAGCTGGGTTCCTGGGATTAAGCCTTTCACGGGTGTTGGTTTTGTTTGGTGAGATGCGATTTGATGCCTTAATTAGGGTTTTCCCATCTGGATTCATAGGTGAAAGTGGCCTATGCATTTATGTATGTTTTGTATTGTCCTTGTCTGATTTTCATAGCAAGGTTTGCAGAAGTGAATTGGGCAGCCGTCTCTGTTCTGGGTTCTCTGAGTCAGCTTGTCTGGGGTGAGGTCCCTGGGAGTGACCTGGAAAAGCATCTGGGCCATGCTTGTGTTTGCTGCTCCCATTCCTGTAATGATTACGGCTTAGTTTTCTGTTTCTTCTTGTGTTGACTTTGGTAATTTCTGCTTTCCTAGGAAATTATCTATTGCATATGTTTTCAAAGTTGTTGGAATAAAATTGTTCGTTATATTCTCTTGTGACTTTTTTATCTCAAATGTATTTGTAGTGATAGCCCTTTGTTTGATTCCTGTAGTGTTCCTGTCTTTTCCTTTTTCCTTTTTTTTTCAATCAAAAGAATTTTTTAATGGAGGTACGGGGGATTGAACCTAGGACCTTGTGCATGCTAGGCATATGCTTTGCCACTGAGCTACACCCTCCCCCCAGCCCCCGCTTTGGTTTCTCTTCCCAGACATTTGTCTGTTATTATCTGTTTAAAAGAACCAGTTTTGTTATTTTGTTTACTTTTTCTTTGATTTCTATTCCATTAACGTCTTTATTATTTCCTTATTCTTGCAAATATTTACTTTAAAATATCTTCGACTCATGAATTGTTTTTGAAGTTTTTCGAATTATTTTCATTTTCATTTAATTTTTATTAGCAAAAATGCATTTGATTTTGTTTTCAGTAATAAAAAAAATAGTAATACAGAAGAGTAATAATTTCTCTTCTATAGGCATCCCCAATGGACTTTAAAAATGATTTGTATCGGAACACCATTGATTTGATCTGGCCCATGTTTGTTTATTTTGCCAAGTGAGAACACAACGTGAAAACGGCCCGTTACAGCGCCTCTACGCGTAGGCACGCGTTGCAGGGCGGAGCTCTAGGACTCATCCACCCTGTGTAACCAAGACTTCATGCTCGTTCAAGAGCAGTTTCCCTCTTCTGCCTCCCCAGCTCCTGGTGACCACAGTTCTGCTCTCTGATTCTGGGAGTTTGACTATTTGAGATACCTCCTGTAAGTGCAGTCGTGTAGTATTTGTCCTTCTGCGATCGGTTTATTTCACGGAGCATGAAGTCTTCATGGTTCATCCGTGTTGTTGCATGTTGAAGGATTTCCTTCTTTTTTTTGAGGCCACACAATGTCGCATTGTATCATAAGCCAGATTTTCTTTATGCACCCCTCTGTCGGTGGGCCTTCACTTGGCCCCACCCCTTGGACGCTGTGACTAGCACTGCAGTGGCTGCTGGGCGCTGATGTTTCTCGGAGGTCCTGATTTCACTTCTTTTGCACAAACACCTAGAAGTGGGATTGCTGGATCACATGGCAGTTCCATTTTTAAGTTTTTGAGGAGCCTCCATACGGGTTTCCACAGTGGCCACACTGTCTTGCATCCCCACCCGTGGTGCGCGAGGGGGCCCTTCTCCCCACGTCCTCGCCAGCACCGGCTGTCTCTGCTCTTCTCGATGAAGCTGTTCTGCCCAGCGTGAGGTGACGCCTCGCTGTGGTTCTGACTCCTCTCTGCCTGATGGTTAGAGATGTGAGCACCTTTTCCTGTATCTGCGGGCTGGCTGCATGTCTTCTCTGCAGACATATCTACTCAAGTCTTTAGCCTGTTTTTAATTGGGTTATTGGGCTTTTTGCTTTTGAATTGCGGGAGGTCCTTATATATATTGGAAACTAACCTTATCTGATGTACGATTTGCAAATATTTTCTCCCATTCCGTAGGTGGCCTTTTTTTCTTAATGAAAGTATAGTTGATTTACACTGTTGTGTTAGTTCCAGGTGCACAGCATTGTGATTCAGGCGTGTGTGTATATATATTCTTTTTCATTTAGGTTGTTACAAGATATTGAATATAGTTCCCTGTGCTGTCCAGTAGGTCCTTGTTGTTTATCTGTTTCACATAGAGTCGTTTGTATCTGCTAATCCCAGACTCCTAATTTCTCCCGCTGACCTCCTGCCCTCAGGAGGCAGTGCTCGGCTCGCCTTGCCTGCCCACCTCCCCACATCGTTACATTACTGTTTTCTCTGTCAGCGCTTAAACCAGACACGGATGCTGGTGTCTCCCGTTCTCAAATACCACAGGTAGCTTGCTGGCTGTTTGCAGTCACAGCCGCTCTGTTACCTAGTTCTGAGGGAGGAGATGCGAACAGTGCGCTTACTAGGGTCCTTTACCAGTGGTTGTGGCCGGGGTGGTCCTTCCTCTGAGGGTTGGTGGGGGATGCGCCCCAATAGGTTATCGATCTGTATCTAATTTCCCAGCCTGATGTGGGTGGGTTAACAGGTTGTGACTGTCCTTGTGAGCATCCGATGTCCCCCCATGCAGGGAGTAGTGGACTCGGCCTCCCTGGGTGACGGTCCCAGTGTAACTCTTGGTCTCTGTCTTGGCAGCCAGGAGCCCCTCTCCTTGGCCAGCTTTACCATGGCTGGCCTGGCTCCAGACCTGCAGCCCATCCTCTTCTGGATGTCCAACTCGGTGGAGCTGCTGTACTTCATCCAGCAGAAGTGTCCCCTCTACATGCAGAGCTTGGAGGAGGAGCTGGATGTCACAGGTATGGCTGTGCTGCTGTTCCCAGGTGGGCGAGTGGGTGTCACCTGGCTGTCTCAGGTCGCGCTGGCCCCCAGAACAGAGGTGGGTTTGTGTCGGGGGCTTCCTCCAAGAGGGAGGTGACGTGGGGGTTGGCTAACTCGGCACCTCTCATCCCTGGCACTGTGTGTCCCCGTGACTTCACGCAGCCCCACTTTGTTCCTCCTGGGGAGGCCCAGGGGATGCAGGTCACTCACCAAGCACCAGGAGAAAGAGTGCAGTGCGCCAGCCCCAGGCCAGCGTCCCTTACAAGGAACACATCGCCAGTGAGAGCTATGAGGCTGTGTGATGCGTGTTGACTTCAGAGACTAAAACCTGGGAAAGAGTGTTGTAGGGTTTATGAAATGCAGCATAAAGTGCTGAAGACACTAAGTGAGAGAGTGAGTGACTGGGCCGTCTGGGAGGGCTTCGTGGAGAAGGTTGTGTTTGGCTGGCCGAACGGGACTTCAGCTGGCGTGTGTCTGATAAGGGTGGCGGGAGCCGTTGGGGATCCTGGAACGGGGCTGGGAGGGGCAGCAGGGCCGATCTGCAGCAGGACCTGGATGTGACAGCCGTGCTCCCTGGGGCTGGGTTTCACCCCAGCAGCATTGCTCAGCCGCCGTGAAAACGAAGCCGCTCGCTGCCCTCCCTCCTGTTCCCGGCCTCGCCAGAGCCGGGGGACTCCTGAGGTGGCGCTGCAGTGGGAGGCAGGGCGGGGTCTGCCCAGCATCTCTGAGGGCTCAGCTGTGTCTCCCGGGAGGTGGTCCATGCTGGGCCCTGCTCGGCCCCTGATGCCAGCGGGCTAGGTTTCCTGAGAGGAGGGGCTCTTGGTGGCTGACGGTGAGGGGTGGTCTGCACGGGGCAGACTGTCCCGCTCTGTGCTCAGCCGGCCGCTGGGAGCCAGCCGTGGAGGCGGGTTGGTGGGTCGGGACCTGGGATGTCCCTGGGGAGCCTGGGCTGGGGGAGGCAGGGCGTGGGGCCTGTCTACTTTGCTCACATCAGTGGTGGCCTTTTTTACGCGCTGCCTCCCTGTGAGGTGGGCAGCAGACACTGTGTTGGGCTCCCAGGGCCCGGGAGCCTGGGCGTCCGTGGATCTGTGGAGAGAAGCACTGGCCACTCACCCCAGGCCCGCTGGCCTGTCGCTCTGTCCTGTGCCCCCCGGGGGACACTGTGAACACCGCCCATTAGACTCCTGGGGTGGGGCAGCTGCTCTCTGTCCCCAGGCCTAGATCGGAAGCAGACTGGCACGTGCCTTTTCCCTTGGACGTATCATAACGGCCCCACCTCCTCAGGTCTCTGCTGCCAGGACCCCGCGCTCCGTCCAGCAGCCTGGGCCTGCCCTGCGCTTGGCCCTGCTGGACCGCAGCGCCTGCAGCTCAGCTCTCCCTTCCTTGCAAGGCCTCTGGTCACCTCTCTCTCCGCCCCAGCCAGGCTCCTGGGGTGGGGTGGGGTTCCAGCCGCCCAGGGCCCAGGCCGCAGCCGCCCAGCAGGTTGAGTGGGGGTGGACTCCTCTGCACGCAGCATCGGCCAGCGAGCGCCCGGGCCTCTGGCTTGTCCTTCTGTGTGGGATGCCAGGGGCCGGGGTGTTGGAGGGAGACTCGCCCATTCTGGCTCCAGAGAAAGCCAGCTGGGAGAACCCCACCCCCACCCCAGCCCTGTTCTGACTTTGGTCCCAGTGTTCACAGCCAAGTCCTCCGACGCCCCTTCTCGTCTGGCGTGTTTCTGGCGTGTTTCAGGCGCTGTGTTGAGTTGAGAGCCTGCAGTCCTGGAGTTAGTCCTTCATGGGGACCCTGAGTCTGGCTGATTTTCATGAAAACCTGCTGGGGGGCTCTGCGTCCTTCCTCTTGCCTCTGCTCTTGGGAAGAAGTGATTTTTGGTCTGAGGCCCGGATGTCCTGTAGCCCAGTTGGTGCTGGGAGGGTGAGCGTGTGGACGGCCGGGGTCCCGCCTCCGCTTGCCCTGGGGACCATGTGGGCCGGGGAAGCCACCGCGAGGTCTGACAGTCTCAAAGACGATGTCCTGGGGTCGCAGGCTCTGGAGAGCTCAGAGGAACAGCAGCACCACAGAGGGCGAAGGAGGGCTGCAGGCGGCCTGCTGGCCTGGCCTCCCGACCTTCAGCAGGAAGTATCTGTGAGAAGAATTCTAAAAACAGAGATGTCATGTCCTGAAAGCTGGGAAAATAGCCTTTTCTTTCCCTAAACACCCCCCCCCCTTTTTTTTTGTCCAAAGCTGTTATCCAGGAGGCCCTTTTGAACAGGCAGATAGAAGATCAGCCCAGGGCCGGCTGCGGATGGGGGTGATGTTTAATTTATTCACTTAAAATTCTCCTGTGAGACTTTGAGGCTCGGTCTCAATGCCTGCAGATGTGTGTGTTTGGGAAGGGTCCTCAGGTGCCCAGAGGAGGGCCTCAGGCCTGGGCCGAGGGAGGGAGGTTCAGAAAGGCTCGTAGGCTGTCACTCAGCGGAGCCCACCCCGCAGCTGGGAGTGACTCTGCTGGGAGCCTGCCCCGTGGCTGTGCTCCATGGGTCCCCTCCTCCCACCAGAGCCCCGCTCCCACACGAGGGGTGTAGGGCGGCCTTCTCAGACAAGCTGGCGGACAGGGGGCCTGCAGTCAGTGCCTGCACCCTTTGCAGGGGCCCCGCTGCGGTGAGAGGGTTTGGAGCTGGGTTTCTCGGCCTGCGTTCCCACTGGCTGTGATTGGCTGTGAAATACATGGGGTCTGCGTGCGTTCCAGTCAGCAGAGGGGCCAGCCTGGTGTGTTTCTGTAGGCCTGGAACTTTCTGGAAGAAAGGAGCATTGCAGCTGACCGGGCAACAGCCAGCCCTGTTAAGACCCTCCTGCTCCCCCAGACCTGGGGCCCTCAAGAAGCTCGATTTGCTTCTTCCCCAGAGCCCGGTGAGGACGCCGGGAGCAACCAGACCCCGCCAGGACCCTACGCGAGACCTGCAGGCCAGCTCTGGGGAGGCCCTGCAGGCCGCTGGCTTCCTGGTCAGGTGGTTTACTGGGGCGTGATCCCTGGGGCTCAGGGAGCCCCGAGCCCTTGATGGCACGTCCTGACGTCTGCAGGGTGGGTCTCTGAGGAACTGGCACACCGTTTCCTTCCTGTTTACCTGGCAGCAGGGCAGCCTGGTCCTGTGCTTCTGGGAGGCCCAGCTTAGCACTCAGAGCGATTCTCGCCTCCCCCAACCCCGGGCCTGAGGGAGATTCCCAGGTGCAGGGCTGCCCTGTGGAGCAGATGGGCAGTGAGGGGGAGTCCCTGCTGGTGGACTGGGCCCGTCCACACTGGACGCACAAGGCCAGGGCTGCAGCCTTTGGTCCCTGTGAAGAGCAACAAGGAGCTGAGAGAGTGGGGGACAGCGGCAGGCGTCTGCATCCGGCCCCGTCCCCTAGTCGCCGGCAGGACCCCAGCCCTGTGGACCTCATGCCTCCCCGCGTTCTGGAAGGCCCCTTGGGGTGCCTACCCCTGCGCTGGTCCTGGCGACCCTGTTGCTAGTCTGGCCTCCCAGCTCTACAGGAGCCCCTCCTGGAGGGAAGGTCTGCTCACGCCCCCGGTCCCGGCTGCAGCCACGCCCCCGGCTGCTGCCCAGCCTGGGAGGCCGCCCCCTGGCCTGCTGTCTCAAGTGCCCCCCAGAGCAGCCCCTTGAGAGTCCGGGGTCTCCACCCTGTGCCTGAGACACGGCAGCATCTCCCCTGCAGTGTTCTGGGGCGCTCGGGGGGACACAGACGTGGACCATTGGGCTTCTCTTCTTGGGAAACGTCATGATTCTACTGACTGATGGTCTCTTTAGGTGCTCTGACCAGCGTCCTGAGTGAGAAGTGGCTTGCAGGGAGTTAGGTCAGGATCTGCTGTTTCTGAGGCATTTGGTTCTGACAGAAAACATATCAGCATCTACCAGCTAATGACCTTCTAATGCCCTTGGTATCAGTTTGGTGCCGATGGGCCTGGAAGCGCAGTGCTGGGGTCCCGGCCACCCTGGCCAGCACCTCAGGGCCCCAGGGCCCCTGGGAGAGGTGTGGCAGGTGGGATTGGGATCAGGTCGGGCTGCTCTGTGGCTCTGGCTTATCAGGTTTTCCAAACCCAAGGGGAGGGCGCTGGGTGAGCGCACTCAGGAGGCGTCGGGGCAACTGTGGAAGTTGCTGCGGTTCTGGAAGCGTCTTGCACGTGTCCTAAGGTCCGGCCACCCCCATGCGGTGACGGTGCTGCATCTCCCCACAGGCTCGAAGGAGTCCCTGTTCTCCTGCACCCTCACGGCCAGCGAGGAGGCCATGGCGGTGCTGGAGGAGGTCATCCTGTACGCCTTCCAGCAGTGCGTGTACTACGTCTCGAAGGTACGGCCTCGCGGGGCCCCGGGGAGGAGCGGGGGGATCTGAGCTTCTGCCCACTTGAACCCTGGCCTTGGCCCCCTCCCTCCCCCGCTGTTACTCTTGTCCCGTGAACCCCCTCAGGGCCGGCGGGGTGGGAGAGACGGAGGCAGCTGCTCCGGGGAAACGATCTGGAAGGCGGGTGGGCTTGCTGGCGGCTCCTCCCCACTGCTCACACGGGCTGGGCAGCGCACGGCTGGCTGGTCATCCTGCCCGCTGGCGTCTGGGATCTCAGGACTCAGGGCTGAGCAGCGGTCAGGCCTGGATTACAGGCCTCAGCTTTCTCCTCTCTGAGCCTTGGTTTCCCTGGACGATGATAGGGTCTGTGTCTTTGGCCCAGCAGGTTGAGGGTCATTGGATGGTGTGTGGTGGCCCACCCTCCACCCCTCTGTCCAGTAAAACCCTCTGATAAACCAAGAAGGGGGCAGAGCTCCTGCCCCTGAAGACCCCCAGGGTGTCGTCCCGCCCCTCTGCTGGGGTGGCTGCAGCCTCGTGTCATTTGCACCTTCACCAAGAGTGTTACTGAGCCCCTGCCCTGCCCGCAGGCACTTGTTGGGGGCCCGTCACTCACTGCCCGCGCGGGTCGCTGCAGCCTGTTGGACGCATGCGTGGTCTGGCCGAGGCAGGGGCTTGACAGGTCAGGCCCGGGGCCACTGCTGACGGTGGCCGGTGTTCTCTTGTCCCCAGTCCCTGTACGTCTGCCTCCCGGCCCTGCTCGAATGCCCCCCGTTCCAGACGGAGCGCCGGGAGGGCTGGTGCCCGGCCCCCCAGCTGCCCGAGGAGCTGCGCCGCGTCGTGTCGGTCTACCAGGCTGCTCTGGACCTGCTGCGGCAGCTGCAGGTGCACCCTGAGATCGCCGCCCAGGTGCTGGCCTACCTCTTCTTCTTCTCCAGCACGCTGCTCCTCAACCAGCTGCTGGACAGGGGTGAGGACCTGGGGACCCTGTTCCTGCAGGGGCGCCGGCTCCCAGGCACAGCTCTGCCACGGTCAGGGCACCTGTCCTTGTCTGCACGGGGCCCTTGGGCCTGTCCTGGATCATTTTATCCCCACCTGGCCCACGACCCCCGTGACAGAGGAGGGAAAAGGCTCAGGGAAGTGATGTGACCTTTGACCCTGCCTCACTGCCACCCAGATCGCCCCCATCGCCCTGCCAGGGTTCAGGGCACCAGTTACTTTTGGCCAAGGCCCAGCTGGGGCATGGGGCAGGGAGAGCAGGCAGCCCACAGCACATGGGAAGGGCTGGACCATGGCCCTTTGACCTCGGGGTTGAGCAGCTGCCCTGCCATCTTCCCTCCGGCCTCCTGTGCCCACCCACCCTCACCCCTACCCAGAGAGGGGTCCAGAAGCAGGTAATTGCCTTGGAAACGTACCAGGTTTCCCACTTGTCCAGAGGCTTGGAGTGAGGGCCTGGCTCCGCTGGGGGTGGGTGGGCAGTGCACCTTCTCTGTGAGGGCAGCCTGGGCATCACCCTCCCCTCCCCTCCACCAGGCCCCTCTCTGAGCTGCTTCCACTGGCCCAGAGGTGTCCAGGCCTGTGCCCGCCTGCAGCAGCTCCTGGACTGGACGAGGGGTGCTGGCTTCGGGGAGGCCGGCGAGCACTTCTTCCGGAAGCTCTCCTGCTCCCTCAACCTGCTGGCCACTCCCAGTGCCCAGCTCATCCAGGTGGGAGTGGTGCAGAGGGTGGGGCCCCCAAGTGCAGCAGGGGTGGGGCTCTGGGGTCAGCGGCTTACGGACCAAGTTGGGCTCTGAGAACTCGTGGTTGGTCCTGTCCAAGGCTGGTCCAACCTGCCAGCAGGGTGACGGCCTGAAGGATGTCTGTGCCTCGTCCCTGACCTATGACTGTGGCACGAGGGCTCTGCTGCTGTGATGGAGGTGAACACCGAGGTGATCACCCCGGCACCTGTGGGCCCCCATCTAAGCACACGAGTCCTTAAAACTTGTGTTTTAAGAGGGAGATGGAAGAGCAGTTCAGAGAGACAGGACCTAGGGAAGCAGAAGTGGAGGAGGGGCCCCCAGGAGTCAGGATGGGACAGCCCTCAGCCAAAGGCCAGCACAGAAATGGGACCTCCATCGTACGACAGCCTGGAAATGGATCCTGCCCTGGATCCACCAGAAGGGACACAGCCCTGCGACCCCTCGATTTTAGCCCAGCACAACCCGTGCTGGACTTCTGGCCCCAGAACTGAGAGCTGTACACTTGCGTTGCTCCTACCGCCACGTCCGTGGTCCTGTTACAACCACCACGGCAGTAGGAAACAACGCGCCCGCTCCCCCGCCTCGCTCCCCTGCGCCCTGACGCAGCTGCCACAGCTGACCAGTGGGTCCTGCCCAACCAGTCCGTTTCCTGCCCAGCGGCCTGAGCCGCCCAGGGTGGTGGGCGTGTCTGCGGGGCAGCACGGGGGTCCAGCTTCCCGGCCCCGGGAGGTCCACGTTTGAACGGCGAGGGGAACACAGCTGCTCTGCACACCTCTGGGCCTGGTCTGAGCGCAGTGGCGACAACGTGTCCACTGAGCATGGGGCGCGATGGGGCCCACGGGCATTGCTGCCTGCGCTCTGCTTTCGTCCTGGGCCAAGGCACAAGTGTGTGCATTGGGTGAGCAGTTCCTGAGCTCTGCGCTTCGGGTAAGTGTAGGTCTCTTTGCCGATTGCACTTGGATACAGAGCGTGCAGGGCAAGGAGGACGCGGTGGCAGTGACGTCTTGGTTGCGCCACCCTCCTGGCACAGCCCAGGTCTCATCCCGAAGGAGGGGCGTCCAGCAGCCAAGTGCCTGTGCGTGTGGGAGCCCCAGAGCTCTCACCCGGCCAGGCCCAGACCTGTACCCTCCAAGCAGGTGTGACTGACCGGGCAGAGCTGGCGGTCAGTGACAGCCTGGGGGACCGGAGGATGTGGACGCTGGGCTTTCACAGCAAACTAGCCAGGCCAGGGTGACCTCGCGGCCAGGACGGCAAGCTCCTGCTCAGGGGGGCGCTGCCACGCAGACGTCCAGGTCCTGCTCCAGAGTGGGAGTGGACAGCTCCCAGTATGTGTGTGAGGGAGGCGGGGAGTGAGGCTGGAGGAGACAGAGCAGGGCGGGAAACCTCGTCTGTAAAGGGCCAGGTCGTGGCTGCTTTACACTTCGGTTTCCATACCAGAAGCTTTCTTGTTTGTTTTTACGTCCTTTAAAAATGTGAAAACCATTCTTAGCTTGAGGCCTCTATAAAAACAGGCCTCCACCCATAGTTTGCTGCCTTCAAAACAGACTATTCAGGAAAAAGAAGCTTGAAAAAAACCATTTATGTCCTCATAAAGGTGAGAGAAGGTAGAGTGTCCGTAAGGTAACAGCAGGAGGCTATAAATAAGAGAACCAAAGGAACCTTGGGAGTTAACACTGCGGCAGTGGAGATGAGAAGCTCCCCAGCAGGGCCGGAAAGTAAAGCCAGGGAAGCGCCCAGAAAGCCAGAGATGCCAAGACGGACACGGGGTCCTGCCGGGTGGCTTCAGCACTGTCGGGGCTGGAGAGACCATAGATGTGGGCGAAGGAACCCGGAAACCAAAAGCACCTCCAGGCAGACGAAGCCGTCTTGCACTGGTGTGTGTTTGGGGTGAGGAGGGGGCCGCTGCTGGGGCCCCCGCTGCCCCTCCCCCACGTAGCCCAGGACACTCAGGGTCCCTTCCGGCAGACGCTCAGTAACCACCGCCCAGGCATCTTGATGTTGGCGCTTAGAATCACGTGGGGGAGCAAGAGAGGAAAGAAGAAAGCAGGGAATTAAAGGGCCCATCCCTGACACCCCTGTGTCCAGGCAGCAGGAGGCCAGAGGGATCAGAGCAAACATGGGTGAAGACAAACCAGCGCGGCCCCAGCCGAGCATCCAGTGGGAGAGCGCGCGGCGGCTGAGCCGCCCCGAGGCCTGGCTCCGGGACGTCAGAGAGACCTCTGAGCTTCCTGAGGGGAATGAGGCTGCCGGTCCCGGAGGTCAGCGATCGGGGTGGTTTCTGACTTCTTGAGAGCAACTTGGGGAGCTGGAGGGCCCCGGAGCTGACCTCCAGCCTGCAGTCCTGCAGCCCAGGCCCTGGCGCTGGGACAGTGGCCTGCACATGGGCCGCCAGCCGGGCCCCCACGTGCCTCCAGCACTCGTGTCTTCCGGGAGCTCCTAGAGCATCCGCTCACAGAACCGCCGGGACGCGGGGAGAGAGCAGTGGGCAGGGCTTCCAGAGAACAAGAAGGGTGGAGACCCACAGCATAGGGATAGGGGTGCGCCTTCTGCCTGCGCTCTGCCTCTGCCGTCCGGCTAACCTCAGGGAGCTCTCCTGTCCCCAGCACATAAGCCAGGCCCCCGGGGCTCTTAGTGGCATAGTTCTGCCTTCACGCGTGTCTTGGGCCTGCTTGGTTCCACAGTACAAGGCGGGAGCCCGGGTTCATCCCCCTCGTCTCCCAGTAGCCTTTTCCGTCGTTTCTCAGCCCTGAGAGGTGATGTGGTTGATGAGGGTTTGCTCAGTGGACAAGGCACTTGTCCTGGGAGCGGCCACCCTGACCCTGGCTCTCTCCCCGGACGCCCACGAGGCAGCAGGGTGAGCTGCTCACGCTGGGGGGCGGGGGCCGCTGCACCGGGCCTGGACCCTCCCACCCCCCCACTGACCTCACTGTCCCGCACGGATGCTGGGGGCTCTGTGTGCCAGGCAGGGAGTCCTCTGCTGCTTCCCTCAGAGAGCTCAGAAGGCAGGCCATCCCTGGGGCGGGGCCGTGCCTTCTGGGCCTTTGAGCAGTTCCTTCTTGTCACCCAGATGAGCTGGGCCAACCTGCGGGCTGCCTTCCCCTCCCTGAGCCCTGCGCAGCTGCACCGGCTGCTGACTCAGTACCAGCTGGCCTCGGCCATGGGCCCCATGAGTGCCTGGGAGCCAGGCGCCCAGGACAGCCCTGAAGCCTTCAAGTCTGGTGAGGCTTCTCCCTGCGGGGGTGGGGAACTTGGGCGTGGACCATGGGCTCCCTGACCCCCAGCTGTGGAGGCCCCCGGGTGGGGGACAGGGCAGGACACCCAAGGAAGAAGATAGCCTGGGGGGAGGCTCCCTTTGTCCCCTCAGCTCTGGGCTCAGGTCCAAGGCCCCTGCTGCCCCTCCTGGGGCCTCCCCCAGTGTCCGGCTACCAGGGAGAGAGCGGGGTATCTACACTGGGCACCACTGCACAGCCCGACAGGAAACACTGCTGAGCAGGCTTGACCCTTGTGTCCACACACATGTACGTGTTTTATAAATCAGACATGCCTCTCCTCGTTAGCATTATGTATATTGTAACATGAACAAAATAGAAAATCAAGGATGGGGGAAGATCTAGAGAGAAGTAGGGCTTCGAATGCCTTCTTCCCACCCTGGTGACCTAGGGGCCTGTATCACAGACACTGTCCCCCTCCCCCATCTACTGGCTCATTTCCGAGGCCTGCTGCGGGGCAGGTGCTGTGCTGGGAGCTGAGAATGCCATGCGGGCTCCTGCCTTCCCCCCGGTCTCGGAGGTGCCCGAGTCCTAGTGCAGAGGCCAGCATGTGAGCAGGCCGTGTCCACCCCGGGTGACACGTGTGGGATGTAGGCAGTGTGGCCATGGGAGCCCCGGGGGGAGCAGGCATTGTCTTGGGGCACAGGCGGTGGGCTGAGCGAGCTGGGTTTCCCGCGGGGGGTAGGGGGACCCCAGGGCCGCAGGTGGGGTTGGGGTGGGGTAGGAGTTCTGAACTAGGAGCTGGGGTTTTATCCCAGAAGTGGTCACTGGGATTGAGGAGGGACGAGAGTGCAGTGTGGGCTGGTCACCCCAGCCCAGATCCCCTCCCCGGTTCCCGCAGCAGGGGTGGTCAGGCAGGGGTGGTCAGGCAGCCCCTTCCCGGCCCGGCCGGTCATGCTGTCCTCGCCCTCACAGAGGAGGTCCTGGAGTCCTATGAAAACCCGCCACCCATCGTTTTGCCGAGCGAGGGCTTCCAGGTGGACCTGGAAGCGGACTGCCTGGATGACAGCATCTACCAGCACCTCCTGTACATCCGCCACTTCCTGTGGAGCCTGCGGAGCAAGCCCAGCCCGGGCGGGGGGCCCACCCAGCCAGCGTGCCCCGAGGTACCCGGGGGGTGGCCACGCCCGGCTGCTGCTCCATGGCCCCTGGGGTTCACGGTGCCCCGGTTGCCGGCCCCTCTGTCGGGCAGCTCCGTACTGAGTTCCCTCTCCCTCTCTCTCCAGGGCCCGCGTCTCACCAGCCCTGAGGGCCTCCCAGAGGCCCAGAGCTGCCCCCTGGCTTCCAGGGACCCTGGCAGGGGAGCCCGAGAGGCCGGCCCGGAGCGCCCTCTTCCTTCCGCGGGGGCTCCCTGGGCTCAGGGCCCTCCAGGAAGGCAGCCCAGCCGTGCGAGCCGGGGGGGCGCTCAGGCCGGGCCCCTGCACGGGGACTCCTCGTGCCTGCTCACGCCCCCCAGCACCCCTCTCGGCCCCGAGCCCGCTGTGCCCGACCGGCCAGCGCCCAGCAGTGCCTGCGGGGAAGCGCTCTTGGAAGGGAGAAGGAATGGGCCGAGCGGCCCCTGGGGCACAGCTCCGGAAGGTAAGCCCTGGCCCTGCTGGACCTGGGTGGGTTCCTTGGGCGCTTTCCACCGCGGGGTCCTGGCGGCACTTCCGGCTTGGGCCGTCAGTGTCTGCCCACGAGCGCCCGCCGCCCTGGACACGGAACAGGCTCCGGGGCCAGACAGGGCAGTCTGGCTGGAGGCACGAGCCACCGGCCGCTTACCGCGCTGTGCTTTTCTGGCCCATCCAGGAGACTGTGCAGCCCCGGCCGCCGAGCCCCCTCCAGCCCCCTCCAGCCGCAGCTCCAGCACAGACGACTTCTGCTACATGTTCGTGGTGGAGCTGGAGCGAGGCCCTTCTGGGCTGGGCATGGGCCTGATCGACGGGATGGTGAGAGGCCCGGCCCCGCCACTCCCTGCAGCCTCTTGCGTTCCTCCTCTTTACCAAAGACGGGTCCACAGCTGGTGTTGCCATGGGTGGGTGGGCAGGCGGGGGAGGCCTGTGGCAGTGGGGACCAGGAACTTGGCAGGGGCACCTTTGGGATTTGAGAGAAGGGGACAGGGCCTGTGTGGCAGCGGCCTCCCCCGGCCTGCTCCACCGCCTGCGTCCTCGGCTCTCGGGCTGGCTGCCCTGGCAGGCGGGGACAGTGGTGGTGCCCTGTGCTGTCCCTGCGGACACACTGATGACATACGGTGAGCCCAGGCCTGGCCTCGCGGCCAAGGGAGGGGCTGAGGCGGCTCTTCCTGGGGGACACCCAAGAGTGAGGGGCCCACAGAGCCCTGGACCTCTGCTTCTCCCTCAGCACACGCCACTGGGTGCCCCCGGGCTCTACATCCAGACCCTGCTCCCCGGTAGCCCTGCAGCGGCCGACGGGCGGCTGTCGCTGGGAGACCGCATCCTGGAGGTGAATGGAAGCAGCCTGGTGGGCATCAGCTACCTGAGGTACCTCCCCCTCCCCCGAGGGACCTCCCTCTGAAGTGCCCCCCACAACACCCCAGCCCTGGTGGGGCCAGGTCGGCCCTGGAGACAGGCTGGGTTTCGCCCCCTGACCCAGCGGGCGGGTCCTGTCACCCCTATTCTATAGGTGAGCAGGTGGAGGCACAGCCGTCCAGCCTGCTTCCCTGTGGCCACCTCCCGCCCTTCCATCCCCTCATCGGTCCTCTGACAACACACCAGCGCTGCCCGGGGCTCGGCACCTCGGGATGGGGTGGGCTCTGGAACGGACAGCCTGGGCAGGGCTCCATGATCCCGAAGCCCTGTCACGGCTCGGGGTGCTTAGGGGTGGGAGGTTGGGCTCTCCCGGGGCCCCTCTAGGAGGCTCTGCCTGCCCCTCAGCTGGACAGGCCTGACTCCTGACTGTGCCAGCTCCTCTGTGCCCCATCCCGTTGCTGTTTCAGAGCCGTGGATCTGATTCGACACGGGGGAAAGAAGATGCGGTTTCTGGTCGCCAAGTCTGATGTGGAAACAGCCAAGAAGATCCGCTTCCGCACGCCTCCCACCTAGGTGGGCTGCAAAGATGGCCCAGGCACCCACACCTGAGGGTCCCCAGGTCACGTCACCTCTGCCAGCTGTTTTGTGTGGTGGGTCACCTTTGGGACACTGGCTTCGGTCCTCACCCTGTAGATAATGTACATCTTGGTGTATATTTTATTTATATGACAGATAACACTGTTGTGATGTTTGTCAGAGCTTTTATGTTTGGAAATTTTAATGGAGAAGTATGCATTCAATAAAATATCTTTCATATTCTTAGAGGGCAGTGTGGCGTGGGGTCTGGGTGGGCACCGTGCAGGCTCCCCAGAGGGGCTTCCAGGGACTCCCCAGGACTGCTCCCCTCCCAGCCTGCTTGGGAGGGGCCCGGCGAGGATGCAGGGGTTGTTGGGGTGGCGGGATGGCTTTAACTAACTCCTTGTCTGCCCTCCACCCTGCCCAGAAACAGAGCAGCAGGGGATGCGCCAGGCAGCCCCTGGTCCCCCATGAAGGGGGCCAGAGCCGCCCGGCAGAGTGGTTCACTCCTGGTGATCCCACACTCAGCATGGTCCCAAAGAAAGGTCTAGACACCCCGAGGTTATAAAGTGAGAGTCTTAACCCACTCTGGGTGCCCAGGCCTCCTCCCCCTGGAGACCCTTGCCTCCTCCTGGTTTCCTCTGATCACTAACGGCGCGGCTTGGCCCTAATACCGGGCTGGCCGTTCCCAGGCTCTTAACCCTCTGGCTGGGCTGGTGTTCACTCCACCAGCGGCTGACTGTGCGCAGGGCCGAGCCAGGGCATGTGAGTGTCAAGGTGACAGCACGGCTGAGGCACGAGCTGGGTTCTGCAGCTTGTGGTCCATGTGCAGACGGCTCCCACGTCCTGCGCTCCGTGCAGGGAGCCCGAGGCTGGGCTCTTGGCCGGGGTTCTCCTTTTTGACAGGAACAGACTCTGGGGACGAGGAGGTCCTGGCCACTCAGCTGCAGACGGACTCCTCATGTGGAAAGGATCTCGTGGACCAGATTCAGCCCTCTGAAGTCCTGTCCCAGATGCGACCTGAGCACAGGGCCTGACTCAGCTCCACGCTGCCCCCTGGTGAGCACAGAGAGAGGTGCAGGTGCTTCAGGGGCCCTCCCTGTCGCGTTCTGTGTTAGGCACCTGTATCCCACCCGCCTCAAAGCAGTTCCCAAAACGCTGGATGAAATGTACTTTTACACACGTCATTTCAGTGCCCTCCTGAACCCCAAAGATTCTTAAAGCCCCAAACTGATATGAGGGCACAAGCTTAGGGAGCCTGGCGGCTGGTCCAAAGTCTGTCAAATTACACCCATCCCTTCGCCACTCCTCCGGGTGCAGCAGACAGAGCCCGGATCACCCTGCGGAGCCGCACGGGGGACCCCCGGCAGGCACTGCGGAGTTCCCTCCGGGCTGGAGCCCCAGGAACGGAGAGAACCCCAAGTTCACTTCTTGCACAGGCCACGCAGTGCCAAGCCCTCCAAGGGTTCTGCAGGGAAAAACACATTTCATCCTCACCACAGCCGTTTGACGTGGATACTGTTACTTTCTGCCATTTTTCAGATGAGGAAACTGGCACACAGGGAGGCTGATTTTCTACATCAGTCAGTCATCGTCACAATAATGCTCTTAAGGAAAAAGGTGTCAGAACCCCATGTCTGGAAACAGCATCCTTCATTCTCACTCAGCCTGACTCCAGGTGAGTCTCTCGGACCCGCAGGCCAGCCTGGCAAGTCCTCACCGCACGGGCAGCAGTGCAGGAGACCAGCCCAGCTTCGAAAGCACTTGCAGCCTCTGTCACTGCTGCTGACGCCCTATCGGACATGGGTAAGCACGCCCCCCCACGAGGAGGCCACACAGGGTGCGGGGATGAGCTACGATTCCAGACCCAGACTGGTAGTTAATCATCCATCACCTGGGAGGCGGCCAGGATTTGAACTCGGGTAGTTTGGACTCTCAGCCGCCACAAAAGTCCACCCTGCAAAGAAAACAGCGAGTATTTCTGGATTGACCGTGGCTCTGTGTGAAGCAGGGAAGAAAAGGGTCCTCTCAAAATCCATATTCTCAAAGTAGTTCTTACGCACACTTGGGTCCCAGACTTGCTCTATCTGGACGACCTGAAATTACTGAAAGCTGAGCATGAATCGGCATCTGGCAAAAGCAGTAGAGCATTTTCCCTGGATGTCATCCTCAAGCCCGGCCTCCCGGGACACAAGTCGGGAGGGCCACGCAGGGTTGGGCGGGCCTGGCCCGGGAGGCGCGGGCGGGGCTGTCAGGGGCTGCCCCATCCTGGGAGGCTCGGCAGTCCTTCAGCGTGCCCCGCACTAGCGGCCTGAGGCGCTGCTCCTTGTGCCCCACCCTGAGGCCTGGACACCAGGCAGAGGCGGCCCGGCCTCCTTCAGCCTGGGCGTCGTTAGGGTGTCGGAGGGACCAAGTCGGCCCCATGGGCAGCGGGGCGGAGCGGAGCCAGAGCCCGGAGGCGTGACTACGAGATGGGCGTGGCTTGCTCAGAGGGCGGTGGGGCGGAGCCTGCGAGGGGCGTGGCCGGAGCCGGGCTGGCGCTCGCGGAGCAGCAGCACCACCTGGTGGCCCGGCCCTCCACGTGTCGGGCGGAGAACCTTGGAGGTTGGTCTGCAAGGGGGAAGCTGACTTGAATGAAACAGTGGTAGAAAGCGCGGAGGCTGGAGCTCTTCTTGCCCCACCACACTCAGCGTGTCTCCCACACTTGGGACCACACCAACGCGAGCCCGCATTTGCTCGAGTAAGGCTACTGGGGCAGGTGTCGGGTCCCCAGGAGTTCCCTGTTGGGTCGGCCCTGCCCTCCCTCTTGCTGGTAGGCTGCAGGCCTGCAAAGGTTGACAGCACCTCCAGACCACCAGCAGGGCCCCAGAACCCCGCCTTCTCATTTAAGGAAGACTTAAAAAGGACACTAACCAAAATCACTCCCCGGTGGCAGCTGTCACCTCGCTTCCTTTCCGACTGCGTGTATTCGTGATCTGTTAGTTCTGTAACACCTGGGACACAAGCTGACGCTGGGTGCCCTGGACTCGGCAGCAGCTGTGGGGCTGCCTGCTGCCTGGGTGGAGGAGAGAACAGACCCTGCCAGGTTCAAAGATACTTTCTGAAGTAAGTAGATTTATTTTTGCTGTACCTCATCTTGCCCCCAAGCAAGGAACAGCAGGACACAGACCAAGCAGCTTCCATTCAGTCCCATGAGAGGTCAGTGTTGTGTCACCGTACAGCTCAATGAGGTCAGGAGAGAGAGACAAAGGCCCAAAGGGCGAGAAGGTGGCAGCCCCGACCTTCACCCTGGCAGGAGCCCCGCCTCCCTTTCCACCAGCCGGCTGACAGTGCGCAGGGCCAGGGGCAGGGCCGTGTTGGCATCACGGTGATAGCGGGGCTCAGACACCTCCCCGCTGGGCGTGAGCACGAACTGGGCCACGCTGGGCATCTTTAGCAGGTTCAGTAGCTCAGTGGCCCGCGTGCAGATGGCTCCCGCGTCTTCCTCACTGTGCACGGAGCTGGCGGCCGTGCTCTGGGCCAGGGTCCTCATCTTTGACAGGAACAGAGAGACCCTGGGGAGAAGGTGGTCCTGGTAGTCAGCTGCAGACACACCCCTCACGTGGAAAGGGGGCTTGTGGAAGGGCCCAGCCGCGCAGAGCACCCAGCTAGCATGGCTTTAGCTCGGAGAAGTGAGGTGGCAGCACCCACGCTGCCTGTATCCATGCAGGACCCTTGGGCTGTGTCGCCCTGTTCAGGTGGCAGGACAGGTGGCCCCTCCCCTGTCCACGCCCAATCGCTACCTGGGGATCAGGTCTTGGCTCCGAGAGGCTAGCTTGGTCAATGTGGTCATGAGTGCAGTGATAATCTGAGGTGGACACTTGGGAAGGGTGACAGAGGGCCGCAACTGGGTGACTTCAAAGAGCAGAGCCTCCAGGGCTTCAAAGAACTTGTTGATCTGCTCCACGGTGCACCGCCGGTCCCAGGACACCGACAGGTACTCGCCGATGGCCCACACCTAGGAGGAGGATGGTGCCTCAGCCCCACGACAGACCCTGTGCTGAGGAGGGCCGCAGCGGTGCGCTAGTGCCTTACCACGGAGGTGAGCACGCGTCCGCTGCCACGGAGGCCACCTGCGCTGCCCACGAACTCCAGCAGCTCCTTCGCCCGCTCGACCACCAGGGAGGGGTGCAGCTTGCACAGGGCCAGGAACTGGGCACTCAGCACCCTGCCGGAGAGGACACTCGCGGGCTGTGCTCACCCCTCGCAGACCCCGGCCCCACAGCACGACCAGAACACGAGCCGGGCGGTGGGCGGGACGCCTCCGAGCACCGGGTGGAGGTAGAGGTAGGTCCAGCCCTAAAGGAACCTACTGCCCCACTGCGGTGGAGGCTGGGGCTTGACTCTGTCCTTGGTCCCCAGCTGGAGTGTGGAGGGAGACAGGCCAGCATGAACTGGGCCTTCAGAAAAGGGGACAGACGGTCTGGAAGGCTCCGTGGAAGAGGGGCTTGAGGAAGGAGAAGGGGACGTGGGAACACACTGTGGGGGGATGGTGGGGTCTGTGCCTAGGCGCTGGGGGGCCTGAAGCCTGTCAGGGAAACCGGTGCTGCGGCACCCCAGGGGAGTGGGGAACAGAAGACTCGAGGGGCCAGTGTACAGGCTCAGTGACCCCGTCTGGAGCTGGGGCCATCGCGCAGTGCCAGCGGTGAGGACCAACCTGTGCACGCGGGCTTCATACCCCGGGACCTGGTAAAGCGAGTCGCTTCTCTCCAGAAGCAGCAGTGCCAGCTGGCTGGCCAGGGCCCCGTCAGCGAACTGGGGGGTCAAGAGAGACAGACTCTGTTCTGCCACCCAGGAAACAGCCACACTCTGGTCCCGTGATTTCTGCTGACCTGGGGGCCAGCCGCATGCCCCCGTTCTGGTGTGTGTAGCCCTTGCCCAGTGACTCACAGGCCCTCAGCAGGACTCGCCTTTTTGCCACCAAGGAGGCTGAGCTTCTGCAAGTCCTGGCTCCGGCTGCCCCTCTGCTGTGGGAATGGAGGACCCGGGAAGCGGGCTCACCTGTGTCACTGCTGAGAAGAATGCCTGGAGCAGGGTAGGCACGGCCTCGGCGCACTGGGCCACGCGGGCGCAGCTGGCCAGGGGCTGCAGCAGCTGGTGGAGTGGCGCCAACCTGGGGACACAGAGCCCAGCCCCTGAACACCTGCCCGCTCGCTGCCCCAGCTGGTGCCCACGGCAGGAGTCTGCGGCAAGAGAGGGGCTGCAAGGGGTCTGCTCCCTGACCCTCCCCCACCAGGACGTGCTAGGCCTCACACCACCCGTACAGAGCAGCCAGCACCATGCCACCTGCACAGGATTACGAGGACTGGATCAGGTAGCCAAACGAGCTGACTGCAAGCCCTCCGCCAAGTGACCGCAGGGCCCAGCTGCCCTGAGTGGGTTGTGGCCACACACAGCCTAGCCTTGGGGCCTAGGGTGCCCCGCAGTGAGCCCTACCTCTCTGGGGTCCCACTGGCCTTGGCACGAAGCAGGTGCTGGAAGAGACCCTGGAACTGAGGGTCTCGTAAGGCCTCCAGGCAGCCAGGAGTCCTGAGGGAGACGTCCCAGAGCGGCCTCTCGGACGCAGCCTGTGATGACCTGCGAGGAGACGCCCAAAGCTGTGTTCAGACATGCACTGTGGCCCTGCCCTCAGGAAGAGACCTGAACAGCCGGCACTGTAACCTCCCAGCGCTGTGACCCAGCCTGGAGCCTCAGGGTGACTGGAAAGGGCCCACGGGAGGGGCCCCAGCTGAGTGGGTGACAGGCTGGGCTCTGGGGCTGCTGTCAGCAGGGAGGCAGCACCGGACAGCCAGGAAGAACGGGGGAGGGTCCCTGCTGGGCGCGGGGACCGAGGGGCCCTCAGGCTCACCGGAGGTGCAGGTCCAAGGCCGCTGTCAGACAAGGCAGGTCCAGCAGCAGGTGTAGTGTTTCCACGGCCGTTCCCGCGTCGAGCAGCGCCGGGAGGAGCGCCACGAACTCGGAGGTGAGCGGTGGGCTGTTCCAGGCCAGGAACTGCAGGGATGAGCCCAACCCTCCTGTCACGGCGCTGTCGCCACCGGCCCCTCCACCTCGTGGTGCTGCACTGAGCTCCTGGGGTCAGGAAGGCCTCCCTTCATTCTTTTCTTCCACTGTGCTTCTGGCTCCTGCACTCACTTCTGTGCCAACAACTAAACCACTTCTCATTTGTCGTCATTGTTTTTCTCATTAAAGGACTGTCTCCAGCCGACGTCAAAAAGGCTACGCAGTGACGTGTCAGTCACAATAGCCACATTAAAAACCACTGGCCCCGAAGGGTGGAACACCCTGGCCACGGCTCCCAGGTGATGAGATCTTATTGGACGCTGAGACATGGACCAATCCTATGAGAGCTCAGCCCGACCGCCCCTCTCCCTGGATTCCGGGCCACCGCCCCAGGACAGCCCCGGGACAGCCGAGCATGCCTTGAAGAGGTTGGGGAAGCTCATTCTGAGAATGCCAAGGTTTCTGCCGAAAAGGGGGAGGCTGTCCCTGCAGAACTGGATGAACTCGAAGGCCAGCATTGGGCTGTGGAAGTGTTCAGAAGGGAGCCTGGTGAACAGGTGCTGGTAGATGGCTTCCGCGCCCACTGCGGTGGCCTCCCCTGAAAGGCACAGGCGCCGTTGGGACACAAGGCCTCTTGCTGGCTGGGACCCCCGTGCCTCCAGGACACCAAAGGCTGACACGCTCCCCCCCACCCCCCGCCAAGCACGACAAAAACTAGCTGCGTGGATCCAGCTCTTCCCAGGCCTCTCATCAAAGCCCTGCTTTTCTACCAACAAAGCGCCCTGCCTTGTCCCTGCCGGCTGGCTCCCCACTGCGCACCGTGGGTCAGGAAGAACCGGGCAATGGGCAGCAGCGCCCGCACGCAGGCCGGGTCCCCGCACAGCCGGGCGTGCAGGG